CTAAATACACCAGAGGGAAAGTAAAGGAGAAATCATGATACTTTAGTATTGAGGATGGGGGGTAACTGAACACACCAGAGAAAATAAAAGGAGAAATCATGATTATTTATTATTGGTGATAGGGGGTAACTGCACACACATGATTGGAGGTAAAGGAGAAATCTTGATAATTTAATATTGGTGATAGGGGGTAACTGTACACACATGATATGAGGTAAAGGAGAAATCATGGCTATTCATTATAGGTGATAGGGGGTAACTGTAAACAAATGATAGGAGAGGAAGGATACTATAGTTATCTGCAAATATGGTGTATAATTCAGTAGTTACTTCGGCAATTTCGGTGTTACGCATGGAATGTCACGTGAGAGGATGTAAAGGAGAACCTGCGAGAGGATGTAAAGGAGAACTTGTGATAGGAGTAAAGTTAGAACGTATGTAAGGAGGTAAGGGAAATCTCAAAATAGGAGTAAAGATAGAACGTTTATTAGGAGGTAAAAGATACTTATAGGTAAAGGACGCCAGGAATTTTATAAGTGAACTTATATTTACCATTGGTTTCAGTGTACCAGGCGGTCTTTGTGTTGTTGAAGGTTGTTCCTTATTGATAGTGGACTATAACAAAATTAACAGGTGTCAATATTCAGGTGGGCCGTACTAAAAGTATATAAATACATCAGCCATAGGAAGCGGGGAGACGAAACTACGTGCTTCAAACGGGTAACATTCCCTTTGTCACCTGTGGCGTTATCATAGAAGGAATTGAAAACAAAACCTACATTAATAATGAATATGACGTAATCACACTGATCTTTGGTGGGGATGTCACAGTCGGACTATGAGTTGTTACGCGTTGCTGACAGTCAATTCCACCAAATCTATCATTACATAGACAAGCGTAATTCCCTATACCATCGCGGCACGTTCCTCCATTTAGGCAAGTAGCTTTTGCACAATCATCAATATTATTTTCACAGTGTAATCCATTAAATCCATTTATACAAGATACAAGAAACTTTATTTAATGTCGCATACAGGCAAACAAGGAACATTAGCTCTTGAGAGCTATTATTGCAACAAACATATGTAAAAATAACAATAACATATTATATTACAAGTAAAGGGAGATAATCACATATATTAATAATAAAACAGTAAAATTCATCACAGAAAAAGAAAGTATACATATCCCAGGTTTCTAAGTGATTCCATTTACACAGGAACAAGTGTAATTTCCGATACCATCGCGGCACGTTCCTCCATTTAGGCAAGTGGCATTTGCGCAATCATCAATATTATTTTCACAGTGTAATTCATTTAATCCATTTCCACAGGAAAAAGTGTAATTTCCAATCCCATCGCGGCACGTTCCTCCATTTAGGCAAGTAGCATTTGCGCAATCATCGATATTATTTTCACAGTGTAATTCATTTAATCCATTTCCACAGGAACAAGTGTAATTTCCAATCCCATCGCGGCACGTTCCACCATGTTGGCATGCATCTTTTACGCAGTCATCAATATTATCTTCACAAAACTCTCCAGTGTAACCAGCATAACAGCTACATAAAAAGTTTGCCACAATGTCGATGCATGTTCCGTTGTGGCAGGTCACGTTGACAGTGTTCGGAGTATTAATTGACAGTGCAGTTGTCACCCTCGTAGCCTGCACAATTAAAGAAACTTTCACGTTGTAACAGTTCTAAGTACACTGTAGTAAGTTATATCAAGTATGACGGGTTGTTAATTACATCAGTTTAATAGGTAATCAGTATAACGATACAGTTTGTTCTAACTAGTGAAACTATTCAGTTAGTTCTTACCAGAATCTCAGTCTACGTAGTTCTAAAATCTATTTTATTCATCGATATGTAATTGTCAAAGCAAACTAGAATTCATATCAGTTAAAAGTAGTAAAGCGTTGCAGGTTGGTCTTCACTTTGGAAGCACCGGTTTGGATTTGGAGGATAGAGTTATCTGGATACATAAAATAAACCTAGTGAAACAATATCTCCAAAGCGTTATAATTATCTAAAAAAATACAAACAACTGGACAGCTCCCCTTCATCTGGTTTTCACACCTTGGAGAGTTACGTAAGTGTCCTGGGCGGGGTAAACTACGGTCCAGGTACAAAGTGGCAATGTTTGCCTGTGTAGCCGAGACTGTGTTGTAAATTTACACGTGTCGATTAAGGTCGTTTGAAAAACCCACAAAACACCATTTCTAGATTTAAGAAAGTAAAGACAAAGAAAGATAAGCTTAAAGATGTAGCTAGAGTATAGAAACATACTAAAAAATCTAATTTAATCTTCAAACACGAAACCGTATATATTGTCAAGCCTTTCCTTAATTTACACCAACCACGATTGTTATCGCCCAACGTTCGTCGATCGTCCGCACAAATGTGCGCAAGGAATGATCGTCCAATTTTTTATTGTTCGCACTTCGTGCACACATCGTTCACACACCGTGCACACATCGTCACTTTGTAAGCAACGGTTTGGATTTTGAGGTTAGAGTTATCTGGATGTATAAAAAAACTAAGGGAAATAATATCTCCAAAACAATATAATTATCTAAAAGAAAATAACAAATATGTGCTTTTAAATTCTATGACTGTTTTTTTTTTATTGTAAAGTCTACATTTCTGATAAAATTACCAATTACGTTCAAGTATTATGTAAATCAACTTCTTCTTCCAGTTCTTTAACTTCCAAACAGAAGTTTCAAAAGCCCCGCGTAAACTGCAAAAATACAAAAAATACATCGTTTCCAATCCAAGATATACGGCCAATCGATGCGCGCACACATCCCAGGTCCTCTAAAACCAACATTGGATTAAAAAGGTTATGAACCTAAAAGTGCCAGAGGAAAATGGAGGAAGATGGGAACTTCCATTGCACGTGGTATGCAGTTTTATCATTAAAGTAAAATTGGGATTACAAAAACAAAACAAAAAGTATATTATATCCTTATATCAAAAGCAATACTTCTAAATATTATGCATTTGTTTACCTATTAGAGTCGCAAATTCCACAGGACCATGACCTAATTAAAGACGGTTGAAAACAAATTACAGTTTTTCAAAAAAATAAACCGAAATATCATAAAGAAGATCTAAACAAAAGAGGACTCTAAATTATTAACTGTCTTATATTCCGGGGGCCAAGAGGGCACGGGGACAGGTGTCAGGAGTAGGTATCGTCCTGGACCGAGAGGTCCTGAATGCCCTAATAGATCTTTAAAACACCGATCTCTCCACGGCCTCCGACGCAGAGGGGCGCTGAACAGTCAGCACAGTACCAATCTGCTAAAATAAGACCGGACCACAACCCTGTTAAGATCCAAGAGGGAAATCTGAGTTGTACCCAACATCCTAAAGAAATGGGAAGATGGAACAGGCAGAAAAAGATTGATCGAAATACTGCTTAGTGGGTACAATTGGTTGAACATCCAGGTGACGAGTAAAACGTGACCATTGGTTCTACAAACAAAGATAGGATCGGAGAACAATAAGTTGCATTATGTGTTATTTTGTATTCGAAAAAGAGGGAGTTGGTATGCGCGCGCATCCTATGGTCGTATGTCCGGTTCTGACGTTCAGTTGTTTCGTATTTGCGCAGGGCATTTGACACTTTTGTTTAAGAATTAAAGAATCGATAGTAAAAGTGGATTTTTATAATAATCGGTTTACATTTACTTGCTTGATGTCTAATCAACATTGTAAACCACGTTACAATATGGAACGCCATAGCTGTCACATATGGCATAACATACTATCTCTATACATTTACTTAGACTAATCATCAAATATGTAATATGCACTTTTTTCTATAGCAATTACCAAACAGTATTCTCCCAGCTTATCTCAATCAATCTTTTTGATTCAAGTGGATTGTAAATTGTGTTAACAAGTGGTCAGTTCTCATAGAGTACCCATGCCCAGGAAAAAAGGGAAACCTTCCAAAAGGAAATCCAGTGGAAGCAGTCTGAAGGATATTCAGTCTACCAAAAGGAAAAAAACCACAAGTAAGTGAAACTGCTAGTGACTCAGAATCCGAACTTGAGTTCACTGACTGTGCAGACACTGTTATAAACTTTCTAAATATGGCTGCCATTGATTTCTCAAAAAAGAACTTGTAGACTCTATTATCTCTGCATTACAAAATCCAAAGGTTCTGGAAAGTATTGCCAATGCTGTATATTCAAAAGTAAACCAGAAAATTGAAGCTAAATGAACTAAAAATCAGGGATCAAAGGATAAATGAACTTGAAAACAAGATGGATGACCTTGAAATGTACAGCAGGAGAAATGGTATAAGAGTACACGGCATACCTGAAATAGAGGGTGAAAACACTGATAAGATTATTCTGGACATCGCAAGGGAAACTGGTGCCAAGGTTCCAGAGTTTGGACTTGGGAGGAGTCACCGTGTGGGACGCAAACAAGAGGGGAAACCAAGGCAAATTATTGCAAAGTTTATCTCGCACAACTTGAAAGTTGAAATTCTAAGGAATAAAAAACACCTGAAAACCATTGACACAACCAAAATAGCCCCTAGATGTAAAAAAAATATTTATCAATTAGGACCTATCCAAAACCAGAGCTAGCTGGGCCAAGAAAGCCAGGAAATGAAATTTGACGGCAAGTGTACCGATACATGGACAGGAGATGGAGTTATCTTCGTTAAATCTCGCGAAAATTTTGTTTTTCCGCATCAACACACTAAACGACATGAGAGAAGTGTCCTGTGAACTTTATGGTGAACCTGTTCTGTAACTCATATTTGTCTGAGTTATGTTTTCAAACTGTGACAGAACTATGGATATCTAAACATGTGTAACCAATATCAGCTCAACTACTTTCGCCTCCTATTGAACTGACATTATGACAAATGTGAAAAACTCATTTATATCATAACATGACCTGCAAGTTAAAAATGCAGCTTAATGCAATTTGTAAAAATAAAATGTATGTTGATGTTTCTTTACAGAAAAACTTTATCCATACGTATCATGTAATGTAATTAAAATATAACACATACTATGAAAGGTAAACTGTATCTAAATATATCAGATATCCTGTAATGTAATTAAAATATAACACAACATACTATGTAAGGTAAACTGTATCATATGGCATGACAAGAAATGTATCTTAATTACTTACAACCATTCAAGGTTAACCATGTCTTAAATGAACTATGACCAACAAGCAAGGTAAAAATCGTATCTAAATGTCCATTTCTGACATTGACATTCGATCAACCCAAATGTGGCAATAATGTAGCAGCTAGTGAAAATTCCAACAATTCAAGAAAATACTATACAATGATTATAGTGTTACAGACTGTTAAAACTCTAGTTGAATATCTTTCATATTGATGGTTAACTTATTGCTTATATTCTACCTACATATATGTCATTGAGTTTGTCATCCCAGATAATGTATTCACCGACAGATTGCTAATGATTGGTCATTAGTATACAAACCTCTTCAGACAGCAGGTTTTAGACTAGTTTCACTTCTACAGGAAGTTTACACAGGAAGTTCATAACTCACCCATCTGAATCATTTGGAAGTTTTACACCTTGCTTCTATTTTTAGTGTAAGCGACAAGCTCTTTAAAGAGTAAGAACATAGGTTGTTGTCTGCAGACACATGGAAGTGTACTATAAACCAAGTTATGTATGTCAGTTTCTCACTAAACTATTCCAAATATATGTTACAGTTAAGGTAATCTTACATTCTTACTTGCATTTAAAAAGTATGTACATCATATACATATATAATGATACCAGTATATGCAAGTAATATATTCCTCTTTATGATTCATACCGTTACAGTGTTGAAACTCTTCTTGATTTAAATTCTATCTATGTTTACAGTTCAGATAATCTTTTATACATATATATATGTAAAAGCAGTTGGAAAAAAGTATATATATAATTTGCCATTACATTAACATAATTTATCAACTCAGTATATTTCTCTGAGCATGATTAGAAGTTCTTGTAGACTATAAAATTCCATAATACCTAAAAAAAACTTATTAACCAGTATTGTATATTCCTTAGCATACAATTATTTTCCGCAAATTGATGTTAATTAGCTGTTTGTGTATTGTGCACACAAGAAAATATGAATTCCTACATTCTTTGTACATAACCTGGTTCTTTATTTTTGTTTATATTATGCTTTTCCATTATGAATTAACTACAATGTTGACGGTTGTTTCTTTTTTCACCCTGTACCATATCAATGTATACAAGCCACCATTTCACTGTCTTATTATTGTGCTACTTAATTTAGATAATGGGTAATTCCTTATTGCAACATAGAGTGGCTATTGGCATGTTTTACCTGGTTTGTCACACAAACGAACATTCATCTTTCATACATACAAACTTTTTACACTGGCTTCTCAAAAATCTTAGAAACATAATATTCCAAGCTCACAGACTTGTCTCTAAACTTGGTATTCTGATTCACAAAATTAATTTATATAGCATTATCTTATCACTTTTATTAATCATTGCAGGAGATGTTGAATTAAACCCTGGCCCTGAACCGTTAAGTTCTTCTGATGCTTCTATTGCCCTGAAAACCCTGGATATTTTACATCTTAATATTCGTAGTATTAGAAACAAAATAGATGATTTGT